AGGCAATATGTCAATCAATGGAAGGGTAACTGATGTGATACAGCAATCTGTATACGGGGTAAAATTGGGAGTTCATAACCCACCTGAATCAAACTGTGAAATATGATGTATTAAGAACTATGTAATGTTTTGAACGACCAACAATAAATAAAAAAAAAAAGCCAAAAAAAAAAGACACTATCTGACATACATAAAGTGCTCAATCACTGAGCAACATCCCCAGCCCTTTTTTATATGTGTATTTTGAAACAAGGTCTGGCTACATTGCTGAGGCTGGCTTTGAACTTGCAATCTTCCTGCCTAAGCCTCCTCAGGCTCTAGGAAGACAGGTGTGCACCACTGTGCACAGCCAGCCTGGAAGTTAAAAAAATAAAACCTAAACTACTATAAACCAAATTACATTCTTGGTCATTTCTACAGAAATGATTTTTTTAAGGTCACACAGAAAGCTGTATGGAAATGTTCATAGTAGCTTTGTTCCTAATAGCCCCAAAATGGAAACAATTCAAATATCCTTCAGTGAATAGTTAAACAAACTGTGATGCATCTATACTATCAAGTACTATTCTAAAACAACATAGAACAAATTATTGAAACATGCAACAAATCTGATTAATATCTAGAGAATTATGCTGAGTTAAAAAAATCCTAAATGGTTTATGAAATCTCAAAATGACAGACAAGGACACAGAGGATTTCAGTGGTTAATGATGAGGAGATGGAAGTTAGGGAACATGGGTGTGGCTATGAAAAGACAACATGAGGTAACTTTGTCTTATAGAAATATTTTGTATCTTGACTATCTATATCAATATCCTGGTTGTGGTATTGTAATCTAGTTATATAATATGTTACCAGAGGGGAAAATTGAAAAGTATACATAAGATATCTATTATTTCTTATAATTGTATGTGAGTCTACAATTATCCCAAAATAAAAATTTTGTTACAATAAAAAAAATAATTTAATTAAATAAACTGTGGAACACATATAATGATGTATTTTGTACCTATAAAAAGAAATGAGGACTATCTACAATGGAAAGATCTAATAGACATAGTAAGTGAAATCAAGTGTGCTTTCATCCAAAAAAGGAGTAGGCTGTTCCAATTTCACACACACAGACACATGCATGTATACACACACACATACACATACACACAAACAATAGAAGGATAAAGCACCAATCTCAAACAAAAAAAGAAAACAGGGAGGAGAATTACCTACAAGGCAAAGAGATAAATATGTTGAATGGGACAATGAGACCTTCATTAATATGCACTTTATTTTATAGAATTGAATTTGACAGATTGCAAATATTTTACATTAAGTACAAAAGATTAAATTGAAAATAAAGCAATCCCTAAAATTTTAAAACTGAATGCAAAAAATTAACCTAAAATGAATATGTTCATGAGCGTGTGTGTGTGTATGTGTGTGTGTGTATGTATATATATATATATATATATATATATATATATATATCTTGAATATGTGTATGCAGTATTTGTCACCAGGTCTAGCACATAGTAAATCCTTAATGAATGAATGAACTTTAGTATTGCTCTTATGGAAAGCCAAGTTTTGTAATATCTGGAGTACTAGAATCAGAAGACTTGAGCCTGACTCCTTACTCATTCACTTGCTAGAAAAGGGAATGGCGGCTGCTAGCTTATATTTACTAAGAATTAGCTAATAAATTGATTGATTAATTGACACTCCCCTTTGTTATATTAATTCATGAAGCATTCATTAAGTGACTACTGTATGCTAAGATGCTATTCTAGATAGTGTGACTAAATGATTGAACCAACCACACAAAAATCCCTATTTTCATGGACTTATGTACTCCATAAATCTTC